TTGAGATTGCATTTAACTTGTAGATTACCTTTGGTAGAATTGCCATTTTCATAATCATGAGTCTTCCTACTCAAGAGCGTGGTATATTCTTCCATTTTTCCAGGTCTCTCTTTTTTTTTTCTTGTAGTAATGTTTTGTCATTTTCTTTGGATAGATCTTTTGTTTACGCCCAAATATTTAATCTTGTGTTAAGCTATTGTGAAGGGTATTGTTTTTCTTAGCTCCAGCTCTGTATTCTCTTTGTCACTGTAGAGAAATCAAATTGATTTTTGTATGTTGATCTTGTATCCTGCCACTTTGCTGAATTGGTCAACTATGTCCAGTAGTTTTCTCGCTGAATCTTTAGGATTTTCCAAGTATATTATTATATCATCTGCATATAGAGATAGTTTTACCTCCTCTTTGCCAATTTGGATACCTCTTATTTCCTTCACATGTCTTACTGCTATCGCTAAGACTTCCAATACAGTATTGATCCTTGCCTAGTTCCTGTTCTCCAAGGGAATGCCTTTAATCTCTCTCCATTGAGAACAATGTTGGGTCTTGGGTTTGCGTATATACTTTTTACTATGTTAAGAAATTCCCCTGTATTCCTATTTTGTTGAGTGTTTTAATCAGGAAAGAGTGTTGGTTTTTGTCAAAGGCCTTTTCTGCATCAATTGATAGGATCATGTGGTTCTTGTTCTTTTTTTATGCACTGTTAGATTCTATTGGCCAGGATTTTATTGAGGAGTTTTGCATGTATGTTGATGAGAGATATTGACCTATTGTATTCTATTTTTGTGATATCTTTACCTAACTTTTTTATCAAGGATATGCTTGCTTCATAGAATGAGTCTGGGTGAATTCCATCCTTTTTGTAGTTTCTGAAATATTGTGGAATTGGTGACAATTCTTTTTCTGACTGTTTGATAAAGTTCACTTGTAAAACCATCTGGTCTAGGGCTTGTTGTTGTTGTTGTTGGAAGTTGCTTTACTACCTGTTCAATATCTTCTTTTGTAATGGATCTGTTGTTCAGGTGTTCAATTTCAGTCTGTGTCAGTTTAGGTAAGTTGTGAATTTCTAAGTATTTGTCCATTTCCTCTAGGTTTTCATATTTGTTCGAGTATAGTTTTTCCTAATATTCCATTGTTAACCTTTTTATTTTAGTTGGTTCTGCTGTGACATTGCCCTTTTCAACTCTCATTTGGGTTATTTTGTCTTTTCTTTCTTTTCCTTTGTTACTTTTGCTAGCTGCTTGTCAATTTTATTGACCTTTTTGAAAAACTAACTCCTGATTGTATTGATTTCAATTGTTTTTTCTGTTTTCTACTTCATTTCTTTCTGCCCTATTTTTTATAATTTCAGGGTTTTTAGAGGGTGTCGGGTTTTCTTGCTATTCTTTTTCAATTTGTTGGAGATGTTAGGTTAAAGAATCAGTTTTGTTTTGTTTTGTTGTGTTTCCTTATTGCTAGAAATTGACCTCTAATTACTGCTTTGGCTGGTTCCCAGAGGTTTTGGTAAGTGGTGTTTTCATCGTTATTGGTTTAAAGAAACTTTTTAATTTTATTTTTTATTTCTCTAGTACCCACTCATGTTCAAGCAAGATATTGTTCAGCTTCCAGATGTATAGTTTTTTCTCCTTTGTCTTCTTGTTATTAATTTCTAATTTTGTAGCATTGTGGTCTGAGAAAATGATTTGTATTATTTATATGTTTTTTAATTTATTGACGCTTGCCTTGTGACCTAAAATGTGATCTATTCTGGAGAATGTTCCATGCACACTGGAGAAGAAGGTATACTACGCTGCTTTGGGGTGCATTAGCCTGTATATACCTACCTATGAAATCAAGTTAGTTTATGGTGTGGTTTAATTCTTCAGCATCTTTGTTGAGTTTCCTTTTATGTTTTCTTGAAAGTGGTGCATTGAAGTCTCCTACTACTATAATGGTGTTGTCTATTTCTTTTTTCAGTTCTGTTAATGTTTGCTTTGTATAATTATTGAGAGGCAATGTTTTATTGATATCATTTTGTTGAGTTCTTTTTCATTTCGTTGCTGGTTACTTTCATCCATCCTGCTTTCTGTGGCATCTCTGTAAGAAGGACATCCCTCAGTATTTCCTGCGACACTGGTCTTGTTTATACAAACTCACTTAAGTTCTGCTTTTTTGATAATATCTTGATCTCTCCTTCATATTTGATGGACAGTTTTTCTGCGTACAGTATCCTTCTTGGTTGACAGTTGTATTCTTTGAGTATTTGATATATGTCAATCCACTGCCTTCTTGCTCTCATGGTTTCTGCTGAGAAATCAGCACTTGATCTTATCTGTTTTCCCTTATAGGTAACTCTTTGTTTCTTCCTAGCTGCTTTCAGAATTCTCTCCTTATCTTTGGTTCCGGCAAATTTGACTATGATATGCCTTGTTTTTTTTTCCTTTGGGATCTAATCTATATGGTGTTCACTCAGCTTCTTGAATAAATATTCTCTCATTCTTCATTATACCTGCAAAGTTTTTGGTCTAGTAATTATTCTACAACTTTCTCAGTGCCTTTACTTGCTTCTTCCTGTTCTGAGAGTCCAATGATGCACATGTTATTCCTCTTGATGGTGTCTCACATTATTCTTAGGCTTTCTTCTTTTTCCTTCCTTTTTGATTCTGCTTTTTGTTCTAGCAGATAAGTGCTGAAAATTTTATCTTCTATTTCACTGGTTCTGTGTTCCATTGCTTCAACTCTGTTCATATGTCCCTCCAACATGTTGACAGCATCTGAAACATTGGTCCTCATATTCTGCATTGTGGGTTGTTTTTTTGTTTTTTCGGAGCCTCTAATGCCTCCTTTGTTTTATCTGCATTGTCAAGTTCCTCTCGGTTTTTGCTTGCAGAGACCTGTAATTGTTTGAATTTATCTTTCACCCGTTGTAAACATACAATTGATGTTCTTTTGAATTCTGCATCAGAAATTTCCATCAGACTTTCTGGCTTCAGGAAATCTAATGATACTGTATCACTTTTGGGGGGTGACTTATGTGTAGGTTGTGAGATGTCTTTTTGTGCCTGAGGATTTATCAGGCTCTTAGTCTGATAACCTTGACTCAGGAGCTCACTGCTCCAGACAAGGAAGGGGTCGCCACACTGCCTGAGTGCGTCTTTGATCCTGTGACTCAAGGGAAGATTTGCTTCAGTTGGAGAGAGATATGGCCTGTGAATTAGCAGCCTTCTTGGTCAGGCAACTCTGCAGCTAGGAGCATCCAAAGAGACCACAGCTCAATGGTGCTCAAACTCTGGGGGTGGGGAGGAAATTACTTCACTTGTGCTATTGATGCTCCTGGTGCAGTTCAGAGGGATGGCAGTGGATTGTCATCCAGACAGCAGGGCCAGGGCATCCAGATAGTGGGGCACCATCTGGTGCTCCAGGCAGGTGAGCAGTCCAGGCCACACTAAGAAATTTTTAATACAGCTGCCTAGCTTATAAATTGGAAGAGAGCCACAGGGGTGGTGAACCACAGTGGTGGTGATCTCTGATCCACCTTGAGTTGATTTTTGTGTATAGTGCCAGGTATAGATCCCATTTCAGCTTTCTGCAGGTATTGGTCCAGCTTTGCCAGCATTATGGAAAGTCTGCTGTTAGGGACCTCTCCAAAGTACTGAAGAGCAATGGTGTCTCTCTGGAGACTCAGGTGCGTCTGATACAGGCTATGGTCTTTGCAATCACTTGTTATGCATCAGAGAGTTGGACAACGACCAAGGAGGATAGAAGGAGAATTGATGCCTTTGAGCTGTGGTGCTGGAGAAGAGTATTGAGAATACCATGGACTGCTAGGAAAACAAACAGATTTGTCCTGGAAAGGGTTAAACCGGGTGGCTCCTTGGAGGCAAGGATTCTGAGGCTCCATCTAACATACTTTGGACATGTTGTGAGGAGAGACCGGTCCTTGGAGAAGGACATCATGCTTGGGAGGGTGGAGGGATGGCGCAGGAGGGGAAGACCCTCTGGGAGGTGGATTGATTCAGTGACTGGGATAATCGGGATGGGAGTGTCGGAGACAGTGCGATTGGCACAGGGCAAAGCAGATTTTAGGGCTGTTGTACATAGGGTCGTGACTCGACGGCACATAACAACAACAACAATAGTAAATGGTATTGCTTTCTTAGTTTCCTTCTCTGTGTTTTGTTACTGTAGAGCTATCTCAGAGATTTGTATATATCCTACCACCCTACTGAATTGGCCTACTACCTCTAATAGGCTTTTTTGTTGAGTCCTTGGGCTTTTCTGTGTATACTATCATGTCATCTGCATACAGCGACAGTTTCACTATCTATTTTCCTATCTGGATGCCTTCTCTTGTTCGGATCGATTTTTAATAGGATTACTAATTCCAATCCCATTTCCATTCACTCTTTCTCAGGCCTCAGAAATGAAGTCCCAAGTTAGCAACACTCAGCCCCTGAAGCCCAGGGAAGCAGAGCAGTTCACCCAAGAGCAGTTTCAAGAAAACATTTCCGGGGGTGGGGCCGGCGCGCACCCCGCCCCCTGTTCGCCAGTCGGCTCCTCCCCGGAGCCCTGCTCCTCGCCGAACTAGGGGCGGGGACTGCTGTAGGCTGCCCAACCGGAGCGCGAGGCGGGGCTTGGGGCGGGGCCGAATCGGGCCGGCTCCACCCAGGCCGCCATTGCCTGGGGCGCAGGGCAGCGGCTGCGCATCGCTGCTCGCTGAGCTGGGCGAGGTGACCGGCTGGGCAGAACCCGGCTGTCCCTGAGCCAGCCCGCGTCTCCATTTCCCGGGCCCAGGTGCACGACGCCAGCCTAGCCCAGCCCTGCCTTTCTTCCCACGTCAGAGAGGGCATGGGGGTTTGTGAGGGAGAGGAACAGCGCCCGCCCCCTCCCGCGTCGATCTGAACTTGCATTTTCCCCCCCAGTCCACTCCCAAACCTGCCTTTAACGCTTTGTTGCCCACAGAACGCAGCATCCCCAACAACGGCGCGACTGCGGGTGGCCCCAGCTCAGCGGGACAGGCGGACATGAGATTGGCAGGTGGGTGGCTTCTTCAGGAAGGACGGGAGTTGTCTGGGTCTGGTTCTGTGGCCCAAACGAGTCCTTTCACTTTTGAGGACTTAGGCTTTGCCAGTCTGCAACTATTATCTCCATGACTTAGTTCCCCCAACTCGTACCATCACAATAAGCGACCAGCCCCGTACTACGATCACTAAGATGAGGAGGTCTTGGGAAGGCGCGGACTTGGGGGCGGGGAAGACGATCCAGGGGAGACCAGCAGAGGTCAGCCTGGAGCTCGGCCTTGGACCTGCGGCTCGGCGGGGTCTGCGAGTGGATGAGCGCGGGGCAGGCGCGACAGAAGCGTCCCGAGAGATGTGGCTCCCGGAGGCCAGTGATGAGCTTGCAGCGGGAGGTTGGGGGCCGCTAACAGAGAGGTCAGCGACAGAGCTGACAAGTACCGCCAAGGTCATAGGTTACCTGGGCGCTGGGGCACTGGAGGGATGAGGCCAAGTCAGAGGGCAGGGAGAGAGGGCGGTGAGCTGCATCTCTCTAGAGAGATGAGCTGCGGACTTGGACTTGATGGGAATGAAGGAGCGAGAGGCCGGTAGCTGCATGGGGATGCAAGTGTTGGGCCTTTAACTTTTTTGGTGATTGGAGTGCAAATTCAGCAGTTCATCCAGGCTGTTCTGTGACATTGATTGTAATTCCCACTTCCTCCCTGTACTTTTCATTTCCACTGACCCTTTCTGCCCCCTTCCTGCTGATCCTGTATATTTTTTAAATTATTTTTTCATTTGTGTGTGTGTGTGTGTGTGTACTGTTGAATTGGATCAGACTGCTACAGAAGGAGATTGCCCCTCCTTCTCCATTGGAGCATCTGGTGGGTTCGAACCCTTTACCTTTAGGATTGCAGTGCAGCTTCTTACCACTAGGCCACCAGAGCTCCATCGATCCTGTATTATTTTATTTTTTAAATTTTATTATTATTTTGTGTGTGTACCGTCAAATCTGGAGAAAGGATGAAAGTCCCACAACTGTCGAGGACTTTCATTCATAGGGTCGCTATGAGTCGCCTACAACTCAACGACAGCAACAACCGTCGAATCGGATCTGACTGGTACAGGAGGAGATTGCCCCTCCTTCTCCAGCGGAGGATCTGGTGGAATCAAATCGCGTGCCTCTGGGATTGCAGCACAGCTTCTTGCCACTAGGCCACCAGAGCGCCCTGATCCTGTATTATTATTTTTTTTTAATAACATTTTTTGTTTTAGACTGGAAACCCTAAGTCTCTGTAAACTTTCATTAAAATTAATAAAAATAAAAATTAAATTTTTTAATTTTAATTGTCATTTAACAAAAGTTTACAGAAAAGTTAGATTTCCATTCATTCATTGTTGCACATTTCCCCCCCTCCCTTCCCCCTCCCCTGATCCTCTATTATTTTTACGGACCATTTTTCCTGGTGTTTGGCTGAAGTTGAGTCCTGGCAATCTGGGAGGGGTTGCAGTTTTGAAGGAGGTTTCATTTATTTCTTTAGCATGAAAGGGAAAGCCGTTGGAAATAGAGGAGCGGGATATATATAGAATGGTCCATTTTAAAGCAAACCAGGAAGACGTGAGCATTTGGGCTCCACCTCCCTGCAGGGGAAGGGACCATTGTAAAAGGAGCAGGGCCTCCTACTTGGTTCTCACAGGAGGGAACAGTGAGAATGGGGGTGGCCCAAATGCATGAGAGCAAGACCCCCACACCTGCCAGGGAGCAGCGAGCTGAGTAGCTCTGGGGTCTGATGGATGCCAATAGGTGCCAACTTGTCTGTCCTCCGGGAGAGGCCTGAAGTTCTCTGAGGTGGGTGTCATGTCTGTCCTGCCCCAGGCCCCCTCCGGATTGTGGCCTTGATCATCACTGCTGGCCTCACCTGGATCGCAGTCAGCATCCTCCTGGGTGGGCCAGGCCGCGGCTTTCCTCGCATCCAGCAGCTCTTCGCCAGTGAGTGGGGTCTGGTGGACACCAGGGTGGGCGGCTGGCCCCCTCTCGCTGCTATTGTTCTGTCTCTTGACATTCATTCCAACCTTCTTTCCACCCATTGGCTTCACTGTCCCAATGTTAATTAGAACTCTGTCCAGCAGGGGGCATCTTCCAAACAGTGGGCAATAGCCCTGGCCGACTTTCCAGCAGCTTGTCACTAACAGCACATCACCTGTGTCATTCATTTGAGCCTTTCCCTGGAACAAGTGTTTTGCGTCTGAACATCATTTTAGAATTGAGCAGGCAGCAGGCCGAGTTCCACTTGGTGCCTCGGGCCGACGCTTGCCTGCTGCAGATGTCAGGACGTCCACAGACTAACAGAACCGACCCTCTGTCCCCACAGGCCCAGAGAACTCAGCAACTGCAGGTAAGGTTCTTGTGCCTGCTCCAAGCCACCCCAAATTCTGGAGCAGCACGGCTGGGGACTGGCTGCAGGAGCCGCCTGAGCGGGAGGAGCGTGTTGGCCCACGGCACCCTGCTCTGACCCTGCATTGCCTCTGGGACCTTCTCCTTGGGGTACCTGTTGTTGCCCTTAGACCTGCCCCAGCAGGACACCATCTCTCTGGAATTGGCCTTTGCTCTTACCCCCTGGCCACCCTGTGGGTGGCCTGACCTCCCCTCACACGTGGGCAGTCCCAGGGCCAGGCCTGTGGTTAACACCTGGTATCTCTGCCCAGAGCCTAGGGCCAGAAAGTACAAGTGTGGCCTGCCCCGGCCATGTCCAGAGGAGCACCTGGCCTTCCGCCTGGTCAGCGGCGCTGCCAACGTCATTGGGCCCAAGATCTGCCTCGAGGACAAGATGTGAGAGGCTGAGGGAGGGGTGGGGAAGGGAAGAGGGGCAGAGAGGCCACATCCACAGGTGGAGACAGTGTCCCCGTGGGGCCCTCTGCTCTCCCCAGGCTCATGAGCAGCGTCCAAGACAATGTTGGCCGTGGGCTGAACATCGCCCTGGTGAATGGTGAGTCTCCCTGGCCTCACCTGTAGGGCCCCACCTTCTTGGGGTTTTGGCCACACGGAGGAGACAGCAGGAAAGCAGTGAACGGTCTGAGAAGGCAGAGGTGTGGCTCTGGGGACACAGTGGGGGTGGAAATAGAGGGTGATTGAAAAGCTGCTGGAAAGGCTGCACCCAGGCCAGGGAGGCAAGTAGGAGGATGGGGTTGCTGCCAGCAGCTGCCCCAGCAGCACCCCGTGCCCTCCTTCCAATGCAGGGGTCAGTGGGGAGCTTATCGAAGCCAGGGCCTTCGACATGTGGGCCGGAGGTGAGTGACCCAGAGTGCACAGCGCTCGGTGTCAGCCCGGGGCCTCTGCTCTCTGGCCCCTGGCTGAGGGGTTGGCAAGAGCAAGGAGCGGGAGAGGGCACTGCTTCCCGTGCAGGTGGCAGCTCGTGGCCGAAGCTCTGAGTCTGAGCTCTCAGGCCAGCTTGGCCCTGGGGGCTCTTGGGTGGGAAATGTCCCTGGGCCCCCCCACTACTCCCCTCTTCTTACTTGAACAGGGTGCGTATGCTCCCTGATCACGTGACCCTGCCCCTCCTCTCCCTCTCTCAGATGTCAACGACCTGCTGAAGTTCATTCGGCCACTGCATGAAGGCACTTTGGTGTTTGTGGCTTCCTATGATGACCCGGCCACCAAGTAAGTGATTCCCTAGGCTGGCCTGGGGCTCTCCCTGCCCTAGCCGAAGCCCCCATTTCTTCCTTCTGTGGTGGCAGGATGAATGAAGAGACCAGAAAGCTTTTCAGTGAGCTGGGCAGCCGCAATGCCAAGGAGTTGGCCTTCCGGGACAGCTGGGTTTTTGTGGGGGCCAAGGGCGTGCAAGACAAGAGCCCCTTTGAGCAGGTATGCGTGGCAAGGCTTGTGTTCCCTCCACTGACAGCACCAGTGCCCCTTGCCCAGCTGTGGCACTCAGGATGGGGACCCTCCTCTCCCCTGGCAGTGCGAGCTTGAGGCCTTCCTAGGCTTCCTCCTGGGACATGTGTCGGGCTCTGTGCTGGGGCCTGGGGCCAGAGGGGAAGGGACCCTGGAGTGTCCTATAGGGTCTACAAGCTGGCCTGTTGGTGGCCAGGATGTCCTAAAGCCCCAGAGAAGAAATACCCCTTCTCGCTGCCCTCTTTCGCCGTGGCCTAGGCAGGGGCGGTGCAGCGGCCCACAGGGATGATGCGTGCCAGGTCTGGCTCACCCCTACCCATCCTGTGGGCCAGCACGGAGGACCCAGGAGAGACTGAGCCCGTGACCTCCCACTTCCTTGCACCTTGGCAGCATATGAAGAACAGCAAGCACACCAACAAGTACGAGGGCTGGCCTGAGGCGCTGGAGATGGAAGGCTGTGTCCCGAGAAGGAGTACAGTGAGCTAGCCAGAGGGTGCTCCTGCCAGCCAGCCGGGCCAGAAGAGGTGCCTCCCGCGCCACGCCATGCCCTACCGGTCATAACACAGCGGGACTCTTCACTAGTGACTGGAGCATGGCCCCGAGGTGGTCAGGGCTACATGCTTCCTGGGATCTCAGGTACCCGTGTCTTCCTCACCTGAATGCTGCCTCTCACAGTCGTCCTGCACCACCTTTCCATCTCTGTAGAACAGCTTTGGGGCCCACACACTGTCTCCAGTGGGTGCCCGCCCGCCCTCCCAGGCCACCCGATGCGTAACACTGGCCATGGGTCGCTGATCCCTTCCAGGGAACCCACCTTGGAGGCTGGCTGGGAGGGCAGCGAGGTAGCTGACGGCTCCTGCAGTGGGAGAGGGACCGCTCTCCAGATAACCTGTTAATAAATGGATGGGTCCAGGTGGAACGAAGCACATTGAGGTGTGGTCGTCCATGGAGAGCTGTGGGCACCAATGGCCTCTGCAGAAGGGAACGTGAAGGGGGTGCTGTGAGGCTTGGGCTTACCTCACCCACCTTAGCAGCCCCTTTGTCTCCTTGTTAGGGAGCGAGGGTTCTGCCTGCTGAGGTAGGAAGCTCACCTCCTCCCTCTGTGCCTCCCTGTAGGCGAGGGACAAGAATGAAAACCAGCAGTACCTCCACTCACACTTCCTGCACTGTGCTGCAGGACGCCTCGGAAGCCAGGGCCCACACAGGGGCCCTTAGTTAGCTATGAGTTGGCGTTTTTTGGAGAGCAGCATCCTAACTCCCTTCTTTGAGATACTCTGTCATCACCCAAGAAACAACTCAGAAGAGTCTGGTTAGAGCATACAATCTGCAGGTGGTAAAATGACGCAGTCACTGGGAAAGCCTTCTGCGTGGTGGGAGGTGGGGGGTTGGCACTTGGAACACCGCAGGAATTCCAAGTCCAGCTCTGGGGCCGGGGACCTGTGCACATGAACTGCTGGGACTGTAAAAATTTTAGCAAACCCACAGGAAACGGGGAAGGAACAGACAGGCAGGAGATGAGTTTGAGGCATGGGATGGCCCCAGAGGGAGGAAAGACAGAAGGGTCACGAAAGGCAAAGAGAATAGGCCCAGAGGACCTGTCCAGAGCTAGTTGTCATAAAAGCTGACATTCACCAAGCCCTCATGCCTCAAAGAAGCCTGGGATGTTCCAGCTTGGCCATGTGGGACGTTAGCAATTGGGGGAGCTGGGAAAGGGGGAGGTTTGGAACTCTTCTCCCTACCTGTCAGATCTTCAGTGACACATGGGTTATCTCCGTGGGCCCCCCAACAACTCAGGCAAGGAAGTACTATCATCTCCCTGTGGCACAGAAATGCACAAGGACACTGGTAGACCAAAGGCCACTAACAGAGCTGCTGATGAGGTCAGGTACCATACGCTTGCAGGACTGCCCTCAGTGAAATCCTCTCGCTGATATCCACGCTGCCCCTCAGACAACCAAGCAGTAACAAGTGCCTGCCCTGTGTTGAGCGCCCAGGAGGGAGCCCCACAAATGAAATCACATGGCCACACGCGCCTGCTGGTTCCCCATCTAGGTCGCTTTCCTGGTGGGATTCCATGACCACATTCCTTGCCACTAAGGTGTAGTCCTGGGGTTTGTGTCCACCAAGCCAGTGAGAACATTTGAAAGAAGGCGAGGCGCTCCTGTAGGAGTGAGTTGCCAGTAAAAACAATCATGAAGGTGTTGGGCTTTTCAGCAGCAGAAATAATTGTGAGGTCAGAGTGTAGCCACTAGCCTTGTCAATGTCGAGCGAGATGCAGGGCAGTTGGCTTGGGGTGCACTAACTAGCTAGGGTGCTGTGGAACCAGCTGCTGGGGTAGACATGGCACTCCCCTTGCTAGTTGAGGTGTTTGCTACTTTTCTGGGAGTTCTGGAGCTGGTCATTCCACACTGCCAATAATTTTCTGTGCACCTAGTTCCCCAGCTTTTAGATCCCCATTTGCTGCTTATATATGCCATGCTCTTCCCCACCGCACGGCCGGTCCCGGGGGGAGTGATCCTGTTGGTAGGTGTGACTCACCGTGACCTTGCCCTGCGCCACCTTCACTCTCACTGCCAGGTTCAAGCCCATGGTTCCGGTCACTGTCAGTCTGTCGTTGAGGGTCTTCCTCTCTTCTCTGACCCTCTATTTTCCCAGCATGACATGTTTCTCCAAGGGCTAGTCCCTTCTGACAACAACCCAAAGTGAGATGACGCTTCATCACCTTTGTCTGTAAGGAGCATCCAGGTGGCACTTCCTCTAACACAGACTTGTTTCTTCTTTTAGAAGATCCATGGGGTCTATTTTAAACTCTTAACTAACACTACAATTCAGAGTCATTGATCATTTTTCTGTCTTCCTTCCAAATCCCCGCCCTGCCCCCTCGAACTACAGCCTAACATCAGCCACAGGCTAGCTCTTACACCTCAGATAAGAGTACCCTCACCAGAGGTTACCAAAACCAGCTTTACCAATAGCTTAGTCCAGTGTTATGCATCAGAGAGCTGGACAATGACTGGGATGATAGAAGGATGACTGATGCCTTTGAGCTGTGGTGCTGGAGAAGAGTATTGAATATACCATGGACGGCTAGGAGAACAAACAAGTTCATCTTAGAGAGGGTTAAACCAGGCTGCTCTTTGGAGGCAAGGATTCTGAGGCTTCGTCTAACATACTTTGGACATGTTGCAAGGCGGGACGGGTCCTTAGAGAGGGACATCATGCTTGGGAGGGTGGAGGTCAGGCGCAGGAGGGGAAGGCCCTCTAGAAGATGGATTGATTCGGTGACTGGGGTGATGGGGGTAGGTGTGTCAGAGACAGTGAGATTGGCACAGGATAGAGTAGGGTTTAGGGCTGTTGTACATAAGGTCGCTATGAGTCACAGGTGACCCAAAGGCACATAACGACAACATTTAGACAACAGTCTAGGAGTGAAGGCCAAGGTTAGCATGACCTACAGCCTTCCATCCTCTACCAGGACACCAAGCCTTCTCTTCAGGTAGCAGGCCATTCTCAGTTACAAGTGACAGAAACCCAGCTCAGGCTGACCTAAGCAAAACAACAGGCGAAGGGAGGTGTGGTCCACTGGACAGACTGTCAACACGGTTCTCCCAGCCCTTGGCTGGACTTGCGCCACACGGGTGATGGGAACCGACATATAAGGTGTGTACACTATTGAGGGGATTGGTCGGTGTTAAAATTGAGCAAGCTCAGCAGCAGAAATTAGGCATCTTCCTACTAGCAAGGAAGAAGCAGAGAATGGGGCCTGTGTCCTTTGAGATCAGAGACTGCTGCTTCGGTCAGGCTGGGCCACAGGAGCCAGAGGGAGCAGCCTTGGCTCAAGCTTACTGGCAGACTGAGGGAGAAGGCGATGTCATAACTGGCAAAATGGAGCGAGCTTTGTAGCAGTCCTCAAGGTGGGAAGCTGAAGGTCAAGGGTCTAACAGACTATAGGGCCCAGCAGTAGAGACGTAGCCTCCCTCTTCCCCCCAACACATTTTACAGATTTTTGTTTCTTGTAGTAGATTACAAAGCCCAGAGATGATTCTCACTTCCGATGTATCAGCAGGACCGTGCTCCCACCAGCCCTTAGCTCTGTGCTTCTCTGTTACTGGCTTCCTGTTCAAACATGCTATCTCTTCCAGGCCGAACCTCTGTCCCCATTGCCTTTCCAGTTGATTCCAACTTATCATGACCCTGCAGGGCAGAACTGAATTTCTTCCAAAAGGTTTCAAAAGCCACAAATCTTTATGGAAGAGATCGCCATATCGTTCTCCAATAGACAAGACTTAAGATGATACCTGAAGTTTGAGCCACTGACTTTTGAGTTTATATACTTCAGGTGGTTGTTGTTGTTGTTAGGTGCCATGCAGTCAGGTACTACGCACAGTGACCCTCTGAACAGCAGATCTGAAGCCTGTCCGGTCCTGCGCCATCCTCCATCTCGGATACGCTCGAGCCACTGTGTCAGCCCGTCTCATTAAAGATCTTCCTCTGCCCAAGCATGCCGTCCTCCAAGGAATAGTCTCTCCTCACAACAGGCCCAAAGTATGTGTGATGAAGTTTTGCCATCCTTGCCACCAGGGAGCACTCTGGCTGCACCTTCCCCAAGACCACCCATGGGATATTCCGTTCTCTTCTCCACCACCACATTTCAAAGGCATACAATTTCCTTCTGTCATTCTTATTCACCGAGCAGCTCTCAGCAGCATAGAAAGTAATTAAAAAAGACCAAGGCCTGACTCCAGCACCCCTTAGTCCTCAAACTGACATCATTGCTCAATAATTTGGAGGGATCCCTGACTGCAGCGTTTCCTAGTACATTGTGTCTCCTAATCGCCTGACTGCTGGTACCAAGTGTGTTGATTGTGGATCCAAGTAAGATGACATTGTTAACAGTTTCAGTCTTTTCTCCATCTGTCTTCTTGTTGCCTATCAGTCCAGTGGTGTGAATTTTTGTTTCTTGACATTGATATTCAACCCATATTGAAGGCCACAGTGTTCCATCTTCTGCAGCAAGTGTTTCAAGTCTTCCTCACTTTAAGCAAACAAGGTTGTGACATGTGCATGACCAGTCCTAATGCCACATTCTTCTTCATAGAGTCCAGCTTCTTGCATAGTTTGGTCAGCATACAGATTGAATAGGTATGGAGAGAAAATACAACCCTGACTCACACCTTTCTTTTTTTTACTTCTTAAAACTTTATTTTTTTTCTTTGTTAATTTATTATTAATTTCAATGAAAATTTACAGAGACTTTGGATTTCCATTCATTCATTGTTGCACTTTTCTCCCCACCCAACCCTCCCTCCTAGTACACTACCTTCTTGGAAAAGTAAGACAAATTCTTTCATTGTTTTACAATCCCTCCCCCCACCACTCCACTATGCAGCCTTCGCTCTGGACTCCTGTCATGACGAAAATACCTAATCACATATCCCTTTTAAACAGTTCTCTCCCTCATCTGTTTCAATGCAATATGCATTACTGGACCCATCTTTCTCATTCTCTCCCCAACCA